TGCTCTGGGCCAATGCGCAGATTTGATTAGGTTTTGGTAAAAAGCCATGCATATTAATTACCTGATTTTTAGCTGTTCCATGATTGTTCCACTGATATCTAAAGAACCACTCATTGGATTTTGATGAAACTTGGTACATAGATGCTCTCAACTAATGCGCAGATTTGATTAGTTTTAGGTAAAAATCTGTGCAATATTAATTACCTAATTTGCATAATGATTAATCAATTTTTGGCTTTTCCACTGATATCTCAAGTACTAATCACTACATTTCAATAAAACTTGGTACATAGTTATGATAGGACACTGCACAGACCTGATAGTTTTTAGGGTAATATCAGTACATATTAATTACCTAATTTGCATAATTAATTAATTTTCAGCTTTTGATATTTTAAGTAGTAATCATCACATTTCAATGAAACTTGGTGCAAAGTTACTTAAAGACAGTGCAGAGACCTGATTAGTTTTGGGGTAAATATTTGTGCATATTAATCACCTTATTAGCATAATTAGTTAATTTTCAGCTTTTCGCCTGATAACTCAAGTACTGATCATCATATTTCAATGAGACTTGCTACATAGATCCTCTAGGACTATGCAGAGACCTGATTAGTTTTAGGGTAAATAATTGTGGATATTAATTACCTAATTCACATAGTTATTTTTTTCCATGAATGTTCCACTGACTGATATATAAAGAACTTCTTAATTTATTTTATTGAAACTTTTATAGAGTTATTCATCATCACATTTCAATGAACCTAGGACTATGCAGAGACCCAATTAGTTTTTGGTAAATAGTTATGCTTATTAATCACCTAATTAAAATAATTAATTAACACTGATATCTCAATTACTGATCACATTTGAATAAAATTTGGTACATAAATGCTCTAGAACAATAGACAGGCCCAATTAATTTTGGGTTGAAATTTGTTCATATTAATTCTCTAATAATAATTCATAGTTTTTTTGTTCTAATCACATTTCATTGAAACTTGGTACATAAATATTACATTACGCAGGCCTTGTTAGTTTTACACTCAAATCTGTTACCTGATTTACATAATTAGTTTTCAGCTATTCCATCAATATCTCAACTTCTCAAGTACAAGTAATTTTGAATTAATTTTTAATGTGTCTTCAATACTATCAGCACACGGGAGTTCTTTCTAAGCTTTCTTTGATTTTAGATGTGTTCCAATACACACTGTAACTTTAGGCTTCTAAAAGTTTGTTATAAATCATATTTGGTGTTCACAATCCCTTTCCTCGATTTGAAAAAAATCCTAAATTACCAAATTATCTTGAAGAACAAAACAAATAAACAGAATTCGCCTCGTCTGAATAAGCCTTCTAAGTACGTAAATGATAACTATTTCACTGGCCATGAGTTTGCGGTCATGTTGAATATGAAGGTTTTATATTTTGTAATGATCGATGAACAAATAAATTTCCAAAATCTAAAATCACTTGACAAATTAGGTCTCCACTGCCTTATGATAACGATTAATAAATACACTGGCTGGAACCATACAGGCTGGCATGTGTTTGAATTGTTGCAGAGGTTTATACAATTCCTTAACCTGGACATAAATACGACTTTCAGATAAAAATAACATACCAGAGCAATGACGATCTCCTCACAAACTAAACCAATTCTTGAGGTGTTTCTATTATATTTTGCAGGTCGTATACTCATTGATGGCGTTGATATATCCCACGTTCCATTGTTAACACTTCGTAGTCGACTTGCCATTATCCCACAAGATCCTGTTTTATTTCAAGGGACAATAAGGTACAATGACCTTAGATAACAATTTGATTGTATTATTAATATTTGCTCAGTTGAGGCTATGTAATTCTCCAAAGAACAATGACGTGGTATTAAATGTCAAGTTCAATTTTTGGTTGCGAAATACACTGCAAATGGTCTGTAGTCTTGCATATTCGATGCTGGATGTCAGTTGGTGCAATGACATAACTAATAAATATTACAAATATGGTGGGTGCAGAGCAGTAATGAAGCACATGGTATAACTGAATTCATTAATTTGCATTTCTGTTTCATGTAGGTTTAACTTGGACCCAGAAGGTTCGAAAACTGATGACGAATTATGGCAGGCCTTAGAAATAGCGCAGTTGAAACCTGTAGTCAGTGAATTACATATGACATTAGGTAAATAATGCTATATCTAACTATACACGATGTAGAGGCAAATATTCCTTATAGTTATATTCTGAACTGGCCTTTATTCAGTTGCATAATGTGGAATGAAATATCTTAATAAAGAATCTTCAAAATTATGTCACAGATTGAAATATGTGGAGCAGGATAGACTTTTGATTTTGTGCTTGCTCTATTTGAAACAACTGACGTCACTTATTTCCTAAGTGATGTCTTTTCGCTTATTCAATATAATTATGTTTGACAATCTTTTGTCAATTGCTAATTGTTTTGGGACTTTGATTTGATTTGAGAATAATGTGAAATTTTTGATCTCTAATTTCAGATGCCCAAGTCACAGAAGAAGGTGAAAACTTCAGCCTTGGTCAGAGACAGTTATTTTGCTTAGCCAGAGCATTTTTACGAAAAGCCAGAATCCTGGTGATGGACGAAGCCACCGCATCAATTGACATCAAAACGGTATGGTAATAAAATAATAATAACATTTATATACTGATGTTTTTCATGGATATATTGTATTGTGTTTAATGTTCAGCACATATAATCAAATACAAATGTTTTATGGTTTTTTATAGGATAAGATCTTACAGCAAGTAGTTGCCAATGCTTTTGCTGACATGACAGTTCTTACTATTGCTGTAAGTATTGACTACAATGTGTACCATCGAAATTGACTTCATTGTATTTTCAGTATTTGATCATAAAATATTATTATCATTTCAGCACCGCATTGCCACCATATTAGACGCTGATTCCGTACTGGTACTGAGTGATGGTAGTGTTGAAGAGTATGACACACCGAGTAATCTACTGGCAAATAGTGACAGTGCGTTTGTATCATTAGTAAATGGGCCATCATAACCTATAGTATAGTCACAAACTGTTTTAAATCCAGTGTAGTATTCACTCTCATAGCCGGCAAAACTCGATTGCAGCAGGAAGAGGCGTGACTACAACTTTTTTTAATTTTACTTGAATCTGATTTATTATTTTTTTAACAAATGTCCATTTCGGCCCAACAGAAACTAAAAACATAAATGTGAAGACAGGCACTTTAAAGCATTACAGTCATTGAAGTTCACATGTATGTATTTGACAAGCGTTTTATACATCGTGTGCATGACGAATATGACAATTTAAACATCATTGATAAGTGTACAAGTCACCTCAAGAATCATGCAAGCCAGATGGAGAATATTCAATCCATTTTGCTCTATATCTGGACACATAGAAATATACAAATGTAATATACTTCCTGTAATGTCACTATTCTTTTTATTCATTTATGTGCTACATGCATGTCTTTCATATCTGTCATTTACAGATTAAGTTGCAATAAATCAT